CTTGCATATGATATTAGATATATATGCTATTGTTGTTATTATGTGCTGTTGAGTTATCTGAGACTCATAGCAATCCTATGTACAATAGTTCTGAAGCTTGCCCTATCGTGAGCCAGTCTCACTGACTCCTATACACCTATCCCTATTGCCCTAGTTACTGTATCAATCCATCTCATTTAGGATCTTCCTCTCCTTTGCTGTCCCTCCACCATTCCAAGCCCTTCTCCAAGGATCAGTCCCTCCTGAACACATACTAAAAGTATGTCAGACAGAGCTTCAGAATCCTAGCCTCCAAGGAGAAACTTAGTCTCACCCTCTCCAAAACAGACCTAATAGCTTTCCTGTTGGCCCATGATATATTCAAGACTCTTCTCCAGCACCACAACTCAAAGGCATCAATTATTCTTCTGTCATCATTAGTCTTTATCTAGCCCTCTGATGTACAGCAAGTAACTGCTAGGACCATGGCCTGGATCAGAAACACATTAGTCTCCAAACTGACATCAACAACCTATGTTATGCCGATGACACAACCTTGCTTGCTGAAACTGAGGGGGATCTGAAGCACTTGCTGCAGAAGGTCAAGGGCTGTAGTCTTCAATATGGATTGAAGCTCAACATCAAGGAGACAAAGATTCTCACCAATGGGCCAGCTGACAGCTCCATGTTAGATGGAGAAGAGACTGAGGTTGTAAACAGTTACAGCTTGCTTGGCTCTACAATCAACACTCTTGGCACCAGTAGTCAGGAAATCAAAAGACAAACTATATTAGGTAAATCTACTGTCAGGGACCTTTCCAGAGGACTGAAAAGCCATGATAGATGTGTGTGTGTGTGTATGTGTGTGTGTATACACACAATTTTTTTTTACAAAATAGTAAGTCAAGAACAAGTTAGAAGCCAAAAGAAGCTCAAAAAGTAAGTTAGCAAGTAGACTGTTTGAAAGAAAGGAGCAAGACAAACCCCAAACCAGTGATACTGTTTCTCTTTTGCCCAGTGGCAAGTATGGACCATATAAGCAAGACCACTGGAGCAAGGATTCTATACCATTGCTGATTTGTATATGCATTAAATTAGAAACTGCTAATGAGGAACCACATCTGTTGGTGTTGTTGGGTGTCATTGAGCCAACTACAATGCACAAAGCCTCTATCAGCAGCAGATTGGCACCTTACGCTATCCTTCACCATCTTCCTAATCCCTGTCATACTCGACAGCATCATTACAGTCACTGTGTTAATCCATTGTGTTAAGCATTTTCCTTTCTTTCTCTGCCCTCCCACTTTTCCTAGCATGTCACCTTTTTGCCCCTTCTGATAACATGCTCAAGTATGTGAGACCAAGTCTCATGATCCTTTGCCTCTGAGGAGCACCCTGGTTGCATTTCTTCCAAGACAGACTTGTTTATGGCAGTTCATGGGATATTCAGTACTGTGTTCCCGCACCACAATTCAAAGGTATTAATTGTTCTGTCATCTTTATTCAATGTCCAACTTTCAGATGCATATGAAGTAGTTTGGATAACATATACCTTAGTCTTTAAACAACTAAAAATAATTTCAAGAATAGGGTTGAGGCATTGAATAGTAATAACTGAAGACCGGATAATTGTGAGATAACATCAAGGATATCATACAGGAAGAGGACAAAAAGTCATTACATAGAACAGAGGAGAAATAAAAGATCAAAATGGTTGTGGCAAAGATTCTATTTCAAGGAATCCTCTTTTCAATCACTGGCTATACATCTGCAAGCCAAATAATGAAAGAGAAAAAAAAAATTGAGGTCTTTGAGTTGTGGTACTGGAGAAGAGAACTAAATATCCCATGGGCGACCAACATAACAAACAGGTATGTCTTGGAGAAGGGTCAGCCAGAATGCCCCTCAGAGGCAAGAATGGAAAGCTATGCCTCACATACTTTGGGCATGTTGTTAGGAGGGGCTAAGTCTTAGAAAAGGACATCACACTTGGAAAGGTGGAGGGTCAGTGTCAGAGAGAAAGATCCTTGACAAAAGATTACACAGTGACTGTAGCAATGTGCTCAAGTGTGTCGGAGATGATGAGGATGGCGCAGGATAGCTCAGGTTTCAGGTCTATTGTTTCAGGGTTGCTATCAAGCACAATCAACTCAATGGCACATAGCAACAATGATAACAACAACATTTAAATAGGTATCTTTGCTCTTGAGCACTACTGAAAGGTCCTTAACGGCAGATTTTCCCAATACAACATGTCTTTTGATTTCTTGCTGCTACCAGGAATGTTAACTATGGACCCAAGAAAAATGAAACAGAACCTAATAAAGCTTTATCTGATGATGGGTTTATTTTACACTTTTCTATCCCTATACACCTCAAATAGAATTGTTAAAATTTTCAGAATTTCTAACCTGGGGCAAATACAGGTCCATGTTCTTTATTTTGGGGGGAAACCTCCTCCATCAGAAACCACTTACCTCTAGCTCCTTGGAAGGAATTCCTTGATCCAATAAACCCCGCAACATTCGAATGACGGACTTCAACTTGGCACCAGTGTATTTACCCGAGGGAAGCACTTTGATGATGGGGAGTGCAGCAAGCTCCTCGTTTGTCAGAAAGGGATGATCTAACAAGAAGACATTTAAATTTGTTTTTAAATATGTGAGGTAAAAGATAGATGCTTCAGAGACTCCATATGGATGATGCCAGGAACACCGATCTTTCCTGACTGCCTGCCTTTGGCACCAAGAACATTTCTCTTGGACCCAGGTGCATGGTGATAGACAGATGGAACATTTCCTTTCAGTCCTTTAGAAGGTAAAAGACACAAGTGACGACTGTGGTGTCAACAGGTCTCATTTAGTACTTGTAGGGAAAGTAGGAGTACTGGTGGCATTGCATGCTAAGCATTGAGCTACTAACTGAAAAAAGGTTGGTGGTTCGAATACATGAGCAGCCTTGTGAGAGAAAAATGTGGTAGTCTGTTCTTTTTAAGATATACAGCTTTGGAAACCCTATGTGGCAGGTCTACTCTGTCTTCTGGGGATGCTATGACTTAGAAGCAAATAGATGGCAGTGATTTTAGTATAGGAACTGCTTATGTTAGAGGACTTATTATTTTAGAGAAGAAAATAAAACACAGATCAAGAATTTTTTATTATTACTTGTGCAAGTGTGAAGGAACGTTGGGTATGTAGCGATTAAGCATTGAGCTGCTAACTGAAGAGTCAGTGGCTCGAATCCATTAGGTGTCCGCAAGACAAAGATGTGGCAGTCTACTTCTGTAATGATTGCAACCTTTACTGAACCCTCAGAAGATCATTCTACTAGGGCTGATATGTGTTGGAATCAGCTGGACAGCAATGGGTTTGAAGCTAGTGGCAAGCGTAGTTTTAATCATGTCAATGTGCTGAGTGAGGCATTTTTATGACGTAGTTACTATTGTAGACAACAGAGTGTTAGGCTCTGCAAGGAGTACAAAGGGGTGCGAGGCACCTCAAGAAGATTATATCTGATCTTGTTGTTGTTGTTACGTGCCGTCAAGTCGTTTGCGACTCATAGCGACCCTACGTACAACAGCCCTAAACTCTGCTCTGTCCTGTGCCAATCTCATTGCCACTGACACACCCATCCCGATTACCCCAGTCACTGAATCAATCCACCTCATAGAGGGTCTTCCCCTCCTGTGCTGTCCCTCTACTCTACCCAGCATGATGTCCCTCTCTAAAGACCTGTCTCTCCTTATAACATGTCCAAAGTATGTCAGAAGAAGCCCCAGAATCCTTGCCTCCAAGGAGTAGCCTGGTTTAATCCTCTCTACAATGAATCTGTTTGTTTTCTTGGCAGTCCCTGGTACAGTCAATACTCTTCTCCAGCACCACAGCTCAAAGGCGTCAATTCTCCTTCTATCCTCCCTAGTCATTGTCCAACTCTCTGATGCATAACAAGTGATTGCAAAAACCATGGCCTGTATCAGGCAGACCTTGGTCTCCAGAGAGACACTGTTGCTCTTGAGTATTTTGGAGAGGTCCCTAACCGCAGACTTTGCCTTCGCAATACGTTTTTTGATTTCCTGGCTACTGGTGCCAAGAGTGTTAACCGTGGAGCCGAGCAAACTGAAGCTGTGAACAATCTCTATCTCTTCCCCATTCATCCTGATGCTACCGATTGGTCCAGTGGTGCGAATTTTTGTATTCTTGACATTGAGCCTCAGTACATACTGAAGGCTGCAGTCCTTGACCCTCTGCAGTAAGTGCTGATCTAAATTAGAGAAATCACTCATCTCACTGTGTAAACTGTGAATGTTTACAGAATGAAGTGTTAGTACAAGAGGCGTTCAAAGGCATAGCAGATGACTACGGGTGATGGGAGTCAGAAAGTACCACTGATACAGACACTAAGAGCTTACCTAAACCAAAAAAGGTGATTGCTTCAATAATTAAGAATTCAAAGACAAAACTATGCTCTTCCATTGCTCTAGTATAAAACTTCCTTATAAGAAATAAGAAGAATGAAATACTGGACGCTCTTAAGAAAATTTCCAAAATTTGAGATTCAAGGGTAACAAACCACCAGCTCTGAACTAGCTATGCTACCTATTTTACTCAAAATAAAACTTTCTTTTTTTCTTTTTCTTTTGTAATGGTTGTGGAAATTTGTTGATGGTTTCAGTTGGGGTTCTTTTCTATTTTCTATTGCATCCACTTCCTAAACAACATGCCTCCAGAAACTCTATGAACTTTGATAAATGTCGATAGTTATAGCAAGGCTTCAGGCCTTTTGTTCATAGGGTCACTATGAGTCATGCTCAACTCGAAGACAATCAACAACAAACACAAAAATGATTGGGACTGTGTCTCCATTTAAAGTATTGATACATTTCTTCATACGTCTTCCTCTAAGTCACTGAGAATTTTACAATTATGCAAATATCTGATGCATGGATGAAGATATTTTGCAAAAAACAAAAAAGAAATACACATTTAGTGAACTTATTTTCCCCTTCCACTCTTTTTGATGATTCAACACTTGCCTTTAATGGAATCTTCATGATCTGTTGTCTCTATCGGCAACTCAACACTTCCCCATGTGATTTCATCATCATCAATGTTTCTTTCTTGTGGCTTCTGAATGATACTATAACAACAGCAAAAAAGATCTGTAATATATTCTTCAGTTTTATTGCACATATTTATACCCATGATCTATTTATTTTCTCTCTAATTCCAGCATTTTAAAAGAGGCTATCTGATTTAAAAAACAAAACAAAACAACACACCACCAAAACCCACCACAATTCTTAAAATTTACTGGTAGACATAAATTGAACTGAGGTCCAAAACAGTTTAATACAGTTTTAAATCTAACCCCGAACAGATCTGACATTGTTAAACTCAGAGTGAAGGTGTCCTTTTGAGTATGGAAAAGGTGGTGGTTCCTTTTCCACCCTTCAACATGGAAGTGATTAAAAGTGTGACAGTGTATAATTCGGTCTCTTTGGAGCAGCGGCCTAGCATTATATTTAAAGAAATTACTATTAATGGATGTCAGTGTTTTGCTAAAATCAGTGGCCAGGACATTTTTGACTTAGGTGCTCATTGAAAGCAATGGAACTCAGCAAAAGTCCCCACTATCTAGGGTGCAAAGCAGAGGCTGTCCCTCTGTTAAGGCAGTAGCTACAAAAGATTAAAATCACAGGGGAACAGTGTGTTAAGGTGAGATGAAGAAAAGATTATGTAGAAGTTTGAAAACGTTTTCATTTCCTGATAATCATAATCAGTGGAAAGAACAGTATTTTTGCATGATAAGATTAGTACTTAACATTAAAGTGGGGCATGTACTAATTCTCCCAAATCATCAATAATAGTGTAGCGATTATGCTGCTTTTACTGTAGATTTTTCTCCTGTTTTGACAAATTGTGGGTTACAATTAACATTGACTTTTAAGTCTTGCATCTATGAAGTTCAATTTTCTCTTCCAGTAAGTATTCTTTGTCTGCAAGGATAGATTTTGACAGTCTTCCAACAAGCATTAAGCTTTTTCATATTCTTTCAAATAGATGCCTTCACCATATGAACAAACATTAATTTATTTTGTCTCTATTATGGTCTTTTGCTCCATAAATGACATTAAAATGAATTTTCTAATAGAAATGTCTTTGCACATGTGTAAGGGTGAGCAATTCTGGGATGTAACATTGCTAAGTTGAAGGGTATTTCCTTGAATGCAAAATATCATTTTGTTATTTTTACATTAAGAAAGAAAATACCAACAGTTATAGGACTTCTCCTGGCTTTAGGAGTGATTAAGTATTAAAAAAAAAGTGTGTGAAAATTAGTAAAATAAACAATATGTTCTTAAGAGCCATCTGAAATGGATGATACCAATTTAACCTTTTTTAAAATTTAAATTTATTATTAATTTCAGTAAAAATTTACAGAGACTTTGGATTTCCATTCATTCATTGTTGCACATTTCTCCCCTCCCAAGCCTCCTCCCCAGAACACTCCCCTCTTGGAAAAGTAAAAGAAAAATTATTTCATTGTTTTACAAACCCTCCCCCAGGTCCACTCCACCATGTAGCCATTGCCCTAGACTCCTGTCATGACAGAAATACCTAGTCACATATCTCTTTTAAACAGTTTTCTCCCTCATCTGTTTCAGT